TTCAGCAAGTTCAATCACTTCCTGAGGATCAGGACATATTGCCAAACATCACTTCCCCGAAAGTAAAGCGATTAAATTAGGCACTCTCAATGCATGAATGTATCACAAGGGCACCATTGAAAAATGCAAGAATATGTAAACAGACAAGAATAAAACCCTAGCCAAAGTTACACCTTAAACACCTTTTCAAGTCTGTGCTTTATAGCCAACGAACGCCCAATTCAGATGATATATGCACAATTAAAATTTGCACTAACTCACCGAAGTGTACGCAGATGTACGACCCACCCATTTTTGCCATCCAGAGCATCAGTAAACATTCGTCTTTAAAACTTGATAACCTCCATTTCGTACTGATATCAGCAGATTCACACCAGAGCAGCCCACTTCAAAACGGGAGACAAATTTGACAGCCGCCATGTCAATCATGGAAAGGCGCGGTGACCTTGGGAAGCATCATTACTTTGGTATTTAAAGATGATATCAGAAAAAAGAATGTAATTGCGAGGTATTTGCAACAGTAAAAGCAATGCAAGAAACTTAAAAATTTATCTTTTAAGTATTTTTATTCTTTTGCTTTCCTTTTTTTTGCCAGTTCTTGTTAATAAAATACTTTTAAGCTTATAAATCACCACAGCATTAACAACACTTTAACTTGCTTGCATTCTTGGCCCTAATTTTTTATGTTCTTTGTGTATGTATAGATCATGTCTAAATGCATGTGCATTTAGTGCACCTGTGTTCATTAATAATAAACAGGGAAAATGTTGCCTAATGTAACAGCTTACTCAAAAGAAGCAAAAGCGGTAAAACTTAAGGCTACGCCTCGCCACTGGCCTAAAACATTAGGATACGGGTATTCTTGCAATGAAAAGATTTGTTTTATGCTAGGAAATAACAGTGATTAAATAGCGCATATTTTGGCCAAAAAAAAGTTTAGGAACGCAATTTAGACTTTTGTTTTAGTAGACCTATTTTGGCCGTATGATGAAAAATTACCTACCGGGTGTTCTGTGCGGTTATTTGTAACCTTTCGGCCTCTAGGGTCTATTCTTAGTGCACTCGTATGTGGTGTCGCAGACTCGAATGCATTTTTTTAGTGTGCTATGAATGTATTTTTGCGGACCTGTTCTTGAAAATAGGTTTTATGTTCTGACTAGTAACACTTCTTGAAAGATAGCTTTGCATAAGTCATGTCTATCATTTTTAGCCTTACATCTATAGCCCTTGATGGATTTTCGGAGGGAAACGGAATCTCATCAGCCCTAGTGAAAGCCTTTTGAAGAATCTGCTTTGAGTAATCATGTGGAGAATGCTTCTCCAGCACATTAGTACAGCGAGGAGAATATGGTAATTGCTTCAACACTCAGTTTTTATGGAGAAATAGCCAGCCTCTGATGTCAAAGC